CATACAACAGCGGGTATTCGCTAGTGGTCACCCACCTAACTACTAATCCGCCGGTACGTTGCTTAAATAGGGCTGAGCGAACGGGAAGCCTTGTTCTCAACGTCCTATGGTCGTATGTGAAATAATTGGAAATATTACTAGAGATATTTTAGTTGTCTATTGCTACCCTATCGATGTTTCATCGCGCTCGTTCTCCTCACCAGTGTGGTCTGGCGAAAACAAGATCATCCAAGCTTTACCAACCTAATCCGCACCTTGCTGTACTTCTGCGTGGAACAATAAATTACATGAATTACTCGCTGCGACTATTCGATACATGGTGGTAGAGCGGGCGAAACTGCAGATTCTGAGAGGAGCAAAAGGAAGGATTGGTCAGGGAACGGCACATCATTCAACAATTATGTCAACGTCATCTTTGTCAGAAGACAATTGTCAGAAGACAAATCTTCGCTCGCCGAGCAACTTGCCCTCTGCTCACCAATGAAACGTTGGCTCGGAAAACGGAAAGCGCAAAGTTCCAGCCTGCCAGGGTCTATCCAGTTGTCTCGCCACGCTCAAGTGTGATCTGCCCGACTCGACCGATCCACTTGGCTCTCCTGACAACTATTGACACTCTCTGCGCAATCTTACAGTACTTTTTACCCCAGCGTCTCTTTGCTACTTTCTACCCTTTACGACCCTCAGCTTCCATTGGCACCGACTCCGCTTGCGCATTCCCCCAGCTTTTGCGCTTTAACACGTGTTGTGGCCGCCGTCTTCCGAGAGCAGTGATCTGCGCCAAAACAATACAATCCACCCCGTCGAAACCTCGTGAGGACCCAGGCTCCTAGCATATCGACCGAATGTCCACGACCACCACAATGCCAGGCCGCAGCCTTCCGACCATTCCGAGCGTCGAAGTCCAGTCGCATGACAACGAGAAGTCTTGCTATGTCACCATAGGCACCAAGGTGTACGATGTCACAGACTTCCTTGACGGTCACCCGGGCGGGGGCGAGCTCATCCTCGAGTACGGCGGCAGAGACATCACAAAGATCCTAAAAGACGAGATATCCCACGCTCACTCAGACTCTGCCTACGAGATCCTGGATGAGTGCCTCGTCGGCTTCGTAGCCGGTGAAGAGGTCATGGACGCTGTCACCAAGAGCAGCAAGCCCTACGAGATTGTTCCACTGCCTCCATCTGAGGTAGGCAAAATCGAGCTTAAGGGTATGGCCCAGAACCAGGGGCCACTTTACGCTGCTACGGGCATGTCAACCGCCGAAGATCTGTCGCGCGAAACGGATCCCAGCCTGGACTACAAGCAACACAAGTTCCTCGACCTCAATAGGCCTCTGCTCATGCAGGTATGGAATGGAGGGTTCGAGAAGGACTTCTACCTTGAGCAGGTCCATCGGCCACGCCACTACAGGGGAGGCGATTCCGCCCCTTTGTTTGGTAATTTTTTGGAGCCTCTCAGCAAGACACCTTGGTGGGTGGTTCCGACTCTCTGGTGGCCTGTTATTGCGGGCGTCACGTACATTGCTGCTCAAGGCGATTTGAGCCACACATCTCTCGCAGGTTACTGGGTCTTTGGCCTTGGTTTCTGGACTATCATCGAATACGTCCTCCACCGATGCTTGTTCCACCTCGATGAGTAAGTTCACTCCGATCGCTACACGTGCAATAGCTAACTCCGATGACAGCCACCTCCCTAACAACCGCGCCGCTCTCACCCTACATTTCCTGCTACACGGTATCCACCATTACCTTCCGATGGACAAGTACAGGCTGGTCATGCCTCCTACACTGTTTGCAGCGCTCGCAGCACCTTTCTGGAAGTTCGCGCACGCTGTCTTCTTCCACAACTGGTATGCTGCGACAGCTGCCTACTGCGGCGGTGTTTTCGGCTACACACTGTACGACCTGACTCACTACTTCCTCCACCACCAGAAGCTTCCTCCTTGGTATCAGGAGCTCAAGAAGTACCACCTCAAGCACCACTTCGCCGATTACCAGAACGGCTTTGGCGTTACTAGCCGCTTCTGGGACTGGGTCTTTGGCACGGAGCTTGAGGTGGGCGCACCCAAGGTCATCAAGAGCTCGTAAGATCACCGCCGTCTAGAGAACTTGGGGTTGCGATTGTATAGATAGCATTGGTTCGGCGTTTGGTTTTGTAAGACTACTCACGACACGTTGGGCGGCGCATCTCTTGCTTGTGGCCGGACACATTCCACGATCACGTATACCTATTTTAATTTTAACGTGCGTATCAGCGCACCATTTGTTCCCAGCCGTTATTATGACTGAAGCTTGTGCACGTTGGTGAAAGTGTTGTCACGTGTAGCGCCTGCCTGCTTGCTCGTGCCCAGTGGTGAGTTCTCCTCGTTTTGCCGCCACTAGCGCGGGCCCCAAATCAAATACTGTCCCAGCCCAGCCTCCTTTCCCTTCACATCACCACCAACTGCAGTTTTTGCAAGCACCAACAGGCACGATCCGTCTGCGACAAGACTCTATACGGTCAATTGGCGCTGCAGAAATCACTTGAAGTACTAGCTGCCTTCCGCACACGCTCAGTCTGCAATATAATCTCAGCCTCACGGCTTACCGCAACTACTTCGTACAACACCTTGCGCCCACCTCGTGATCGCGCCCAGCATTACCGATCGACGCAACTTATCGAGAGCTAGGACTCACCCGACACCAACATGACTTCAGGCGCTATGGATGTGGATGCGCTCCTCGAGGAGGCTGCCCGCGACGTCGAAAAAACCCGCGAGCAGCACGCTAATGACGAGGCCCGCGACTCAGATTCGCGCAGGGATGACCGACACAGCGACCGCCGGGACCGCCACGGTGACCGCCGCGACCGCAGCCGGGATCGTGGTGACCGCCGAGGTGATAGACGCCGAAGCCGCGACCGCGATCACCGCCGACGAGATGACAGCCGGCCTCGCTCGAGCAGAGGTGACGGTGACGACAAACCTCGACGAAGCAGCTCCCGTGATAGATTCCGCGGAGGACGAAGGGACCGAGGCGGTGACTATTACAGCGGTGGAGGACGCGCTCGTTCGCGCTCCCCGCGTGGTGACAGGCCCCGCCGTGAACGGGAAAGATCTGGTGAACGCCGCACTGGTGATGAGCGCAAAGGAGCCCGCCGTGAGAAGACTGCCACCCCCGAAGCTACAGAAGACGATCGTGATAAGCGCACTATCTTCGTGCAGCAGATTTCCCAGCGTGCAGAGACACGCCACCTCCGCTCGTTTTTCGAAGCTGTCGGACCCGTCGTCGAGGCGCAGATTGTAAAGGACCGAGTCACTGGTCGCTCAAAGGGGTGAGTTTTACTACATCTGCGGCAGACGCTTGTACTAATAGGCATTCTAGCGTTGGCTATGTTGAGTTCAAGGAGGAAGAGTCTGTTGCCAAGGCTCTGGAGCTGACTGGACAGAAGCTGAAAGGTGTCCCCATTATTGCGCAGCTCACAGAAGCTGAGAAGAACCGCGCTGCCCGACCATCTGAGGGAGGTGCTGCGCCAGGCGCCAACGGCGCTCCTTTCCACCGTCTCTACGTTGGCAACATTCACTTCAGCGTCACCGAAAAGGACTTGCAAGAGATCTTTGAGCCCTATGGTGAGCTTGAGCAGGTCATCCTCCAGCGTGACGAGATGAACCCCGGCAGATCGAAGGGCTACGGCTTCGTTCAGTAAGACCCTCACCTTCACATCTGCTGCCAAGTGCTAACGTGCCAGATTTGTTGACCCAAGTAATGCTAAAGACGCACTAGCAGAAATGAACGGTTTTGAGCTCGCTGGCCGCCAAATTCGAGTCGGTCTCGGCAACGACAAGTTTACACCAGAGTCGACAGCCACTTTGCTGCGAACCTTCAACCAGCAGGCGCAAAGCTATCAGGGCTCTGCGTTCAGCGGTGCTGGTGGCCGTGGCGCATACGCTGGTGGATCTGGTGGTGTCTTCGATCGCACCCACAGCAAGGATGACCGCGGTGTCAGCGGCGCTTCCGCTCTTGACGACACCGACGTTGCAGGAGTCAACTTCAAGACTTACGATCGTTCCAAGCTAATGGACGCGCTAGCCCGTCGTGATCCGGCGGAGCCCGCCAAGCAAGGTGCTGCACCCGTTGTCAGCAAGCCTCGCGCCCCCGTTGTCGACAAGCCTATGGCTTCGAAGTGCATCAAGATCGAGAATGCTTTCGACGCTGACGAGTAAGTAACGAAGTCCCGCATACAGTATGATTGCAAGCTAACCTTCAATCAGGGAGCAGAAGAATTGGGGCAACAGCTGGGTCAAGGACCTCGAAAGCGAAGTCAAGATCGAGTGTGATAAGAAGTACGGCAAGGTCGTCCACATCGCTGTCGACCCGAACACAGAAGGCGATATCTACGTCAAGTTCGACTCAGTCTCTGGTGGTGAGAAAGCTTTGCAGGGTCTTAACGGTCGCAGTTTCAACCACCGCACGATTATGGCCTCGTACGTTGTCGACAAGATCTACAACTCCCTTTGGGGTGCTGCCGCCAGCAGATTTTAAGAGAACCATTCATCTCTGGACATGGTACGTTGTCTCTATTCAGACTGCTCTGCCTGGCAAAAATTGGTTGGCGTTGTTTTTGTCGATTTTGGAAGATGGATGGGCATAGATGGATTGGGGCAATAATTCACCTGGTGTACAGATTCAGCGGCATCCTCGACACTGAAGGCGGTGGGTCCTTGAAGAGAAGGTTCGCGACTACAAATAGGACGGATGAGTCATTTCACGCGTTCTGTGAGTCAGCAAAGTCTGCTCACAATTTACTGAACGATCCCTCTAGATCGCATGGCGGGCTCACGAACTGCCCACGGCTACAGAGCTACTAATAGTCCATAGGATCAGCTTGTCCTTTGCACGCGAAATATTTGACAGTTACAGAATGATACTTCCGCAGCCTTGCCATCTCGGTGCCGTCGGACGAAGTGACAGGCATGACCCTCGAAAGGATACACTCATGGTACTTGTGGTTTGACCGCCTTCATAGCCATCCTTCCTGACCACGCAACAGAGTTGAGATGATTACTGTATCGATGCACACCCTTAGGCATGGATCCTCCGTCAGCGTTTCCAAATCACCTAATTTCCATTATGTTCTCCGCAGGCTGAAATTCACTAACGTGCTTGCAGTAGGCTTCGCCTGCGTTCTGAAGCCTGCCGTCGAGTCCTCCCGTCGAGTACTTCTCGGCTCTTCTCCGGCCAACCTACATTCTGCGCTGAGGTAGCACCAATACTGATCGATTGGACAGATAGTGATCACCTACGTGCTACCCTGCATTCCAGGAACATAAGTAAGTCTTCGCCAGGAAGGAGAGAGGTGCATCCGTATCCTGAACGCCAAGGATGACGCGTCTGGGCCATCACGTATCAACATCGCGAACATACAACGACTCTCGTAATAGCGCATTACCACGCGACTGATTGACGTAGTACTTGAATGATGTTAAGTCCCTCATATGCGCTCATAGCAGCTTTCATCGCGGGTATCGTTGATGACGTTCTCGCGATGCCAGTTCGCTTGACGCCGTCATATAATACTCTGTAGAGCTACTAAAGCTTCCTCAAATAACACGACCCTTATCACACAAACAGACCTCATCAAACCAATTGACTTTCTTCTACCACTCACCAACGAATTCCAACTCCCAACACTGTACAGCTTGTGTCAGAATCCAGATGCCGTTGCCAACCAGGGCGAATTCTCCGGCCGCGTTGAGCCCAGCGAGCCCCTTATGGCTGGCAGAGTAAGTCAGAGTATTACTGAGTTTGGCAAAGCCTTGAGTGCTGCTGCAACTGCTTCATACGTGAAATCGGTCGGGGCTCATGCGCAAAGTCAACGGGCACTCAGCTCATATGCTTCTCGATACCCAAGCCAGCAATCCCACAGCATCAGCCTAGAAAGATTGTCTCAGAGGCCGACACTGCTCCCGATTTTCGCCCCAGGTCCTCCCTGCCGATACAGCGCCCAAGGAATCTGCGTCCACACCAAACCCGGACATCAACAATCAGAGGACTTTCACCAGCGCCTCATCAACATTGGTCGGCGCCGATTCGGGCTCCGTAGAAAGGGGTCTCGGTCGCCCAGGCCAGGTTCAGTCGAGCTGTGAGCTCCACGACAACTCAACGCTCAGCGGTGGAAGTGGTGGTTTTGCTGCACTGACGGAGGACCATGGCCAGGGCAACGTTGCGGATCTCAAGGATGATGCCACACATACTGAGCAGAAGAAATTGAACGAGCCTGGAGCGGGCACATGGAGTAATACTGGGGGCCTTGCAGGGCAGGTGAGAGAGCTTGAGCAGGCTGGGTAAAGGGTTTCACGCTTGCAGCAGGGATTATTCATGTGTTGCTGCGACGAGCTTTGTGGCATTATAATGCGAATGAATGAACAGTACGAGGGTCGTGATTTGTGCTACTAGATACATGATACTACTCGTTGTTTGTATTTGTTCAGAACACGGGACCTTTTCGTGCGAATGGGTATGATGGCCTGGAGATGGATGGCGTAACCTACATGCATCAAGCTCACCGTGCTCCGACCATGTCCACCGCCGGCCCACGAACATTGAACGCAAGCGTACCCAAAAAGCAGTTCTTCAATCCCGACGGCAGAGTCTGGCTGTTCAACCCTCAAGCTACCTACAATTGCTTTCACTTCTCGACCCCAACAACTCCTGGGAACCGTCTACTTCTCACAGCTCTCGAACGTCTTCCAAACACCCCATTGCCACGAAACCAACGCGTTCGAGACGTCCCGCGCGTCTATCCGCGTTTTGAAAAGAGAAGATAGCACGCGTGCGGGCGGCGGCGTCCAGCCTTCACCTCACCTCATCTCTGCTTCTACGAGCAGAAAATCGTCCTTGGCACAATCAGAACCTTTTCATATATAGCTGTCTCCCACGCCACAGCGACCTCTTGACGATCGCGCCAGCCCTCGCGCAACTCGGCCATTTCATTCTCCATTCTCATCTTTTGAGAGCGTCTCGTTGCTTTGGCAGGGAACGTCCACTCCTTTCGCTCTCTGTCTCTTCTTTCGCTCTGTCTCTTCTTTCGCTCTGTCTCTTCTTTCGCTCTGTCTCTTCTTTCGCTCTGTCTCTTCTTTCGCTCCGTCTCTTCTCGCCAACAGGGTGATCTCGCACGCTCCAATGGCGTCCCGATTTGCGGGCGCGCAGTCGACAGGCTCACGCACACAGCACATGGAGCCTCCCGCGCTGCCGGTATTGCAGGAAGTCGATATCGTATACGAGACGGCGTACGCGCTTGACTTGCAGGGGCGCAAGCACATCGATCGCGCGTCGAGTGAGTCGGAGTATCACCTCGGACAGGCGGGGGATGCAGCGCCCGAGGCTCTGGAGTTCGACATGCCGGGTCTGGCGAGTGGGGATGCGCTTCGTGCTTTCCTTTTCCAGCACCTAAGGCCTGAGCAGGTTGGCGATGAGTATGGGGTTGGGTGTGATGTGGATGATGTTTCCCTTGGCCACATGGCAGTCTTGCAGGCGAAGCTGTGGATCAAAGGTTCGAAGAGCCGTGGAGCAGTGGGGGTAGCGACCCAGACCCCGTCGCGGCTGCAGGTCTTTGTCGCAGGACATGTGTCGAGGATCGTACAGCTGCTAGAAGGTAGACAGACGGCACCTGCCTTGCGATCGGCCATCGACTGACGCGTCTTCAGAGAAACACATCTTCGTCCTCCCCCAGGACAGCGCGAGGCAGATTTGCAACCTCGGTAACTTCCACACGAGGTCGAAGCAGTGCCAGTCCCAAACCATCCGCATCGAGCCGTTGGTGCACTGGGGCACCGTCACGCCCGCCAGCGCATCGCAAGCGCACTTCATGCTGCCTTTCCGCCGCGACGGTGTGCTGATGAGGGAGCCCGCGGCGTATCCGGGATATGCACAGGTTGTCCGGCGCGCAGCGGCCAATGCCCCGGGGTACTGCGTTGACTGTCTGGGCTATCTGTGGGACGAGTGCACTGGGGCGAGAGAGAGCATGCGTCGGCTCCAGAGTGCTGTTCCGCAGCCGCGCTTGAGGTTTTCGGACGAGGGGCTTCCGCCACGACCGGTCTTGAAGCGCAAGGAGCCTGGCTCCGTGGCGAGGGATGTCGACTCGCTGGCTGTTGGCGGGATAATGGGCGTGATGGCATGTCCGATTGAAGCGGCAGCAGATGTGCAGGATCATTTCGGCGAAGTGAGTTGGCGCACACATGTTGCACACAAACCAGGCACTAACTCGAGGTCAAAGGCACTTGCTCAGTTTGATGGAGCCTCTGACCATCTCCATGGAGCCTCTGACCATCTCCATGGAGCCTCTGATCATCCCAATGGAGTTCAGACGGGCCATTCGTCCAGCAACGATCGAGGCAGCACTGCTGTTTGGATCAGTTCGTCCAGCAACGAGCCCATGGAGAAGCAAACAGCACGCGTTGGCCCGCTGCGCAGAAGGGATTCTTTTACTCTCGCTCTACGAACTGCGTCTCTTACGCCCAAGGCTTGTACTCCCGCGGCCTGTACTCCCGCGGCTCCAACGACAAAGCCCTGCTCGATTGCAACAAAGGACGCTGCCGCCGCCACGGAGAAGTCACGAGTCGAAGGCGCAGTCGCAAGAGACTGTCGCGACATTCGAATCGTAGATCCAACGACTCCACGTGCCAAAGAGCGCAGGTTCGGGCAAGAAGTCGACGCCAACGCCAAAGCACCCGTCGCGCAAGTGCGAAAGTGGCCTCGAAACCACAAGACGACCACGCCCATGTCCCCAGCGAAGCGGGCAGCACCGGTAAAGCCCGTGAAGCCCGTGGAGCCCGTGGAGCCCTTGGAGCCCTTGGAGCCCGTGAAGCCCGTGGAGCCCTTGAAGCCCGTGAAGCCCGTGGAGCCCGTGAAGCCGATGCAGAAGACAAAGACGACCAAAGAAGCCAAGAAGCGAAAGACGACCAGAGAAGCCAAGAGGCAAAAGACAGCGCCCGCAGGACAACAAGCAGGCAAGCAGAAGCGAGCACGAACCGCGGCGCCAAAGAAACCCATGGCTCTAGTAGACACGGCTGTCTTCCCCGAGACCATGCTCACAGTCAGCCTCGACCATACGCCCAAGCCCGCCGCCACCCCGCCCAAACTCACCGTGCACTTTGCAAAGCCACCCGCGCTCCAGTCCACCCGCGCCGACGTCGCAGAAGCAGAGTGGAGCGCGTTCCACGGCACACACCCGACGCGCACAGGCAGGATCTGCTTCTGCAACCAGCCCGCGTGCCACGGCACGTTCAAGAAAGGCGAGGCCCCGCAGATTGCGCAGTGCGTCAACGGGGACTGCCGGTTCAGATGGTTCCACTACGCGTGTCTGGACCTGGCGGAGAAGGGCAGGGCGAGGTGGGGCACGCTGGTGTGCTGCGTGTGTCGCGAGGTCGGGGAGCGAGATGGGGAGAAGGGGTGCAGCGGGCGGAAGATGGTGGACCTGCGGGCCGAGTGGACGAGGGACGACGTCGATATGCACATGCCCGGCCTCGGGGGATTCGTGCCGCGAGCTCATCCGTACGGGCTGGGCGTGGAGACGCAGCTTGGGCCCGAGTACGCGCGACGCAGTGCGGAGACTGGTTGCCTTTGTGGTCTGGAGAGCCTGGGGTACCCACGTTCGCGCCCGGCGATGCTGGAGGCGGCGTATCTGCACTCGGACACGTAAGAATCGACTCGTAGCTGGACATGACTTGAAACAAAGCTGGACATGACCTTGAAACAAAGCTGGACATGACCTTGAAACAAAGCTGGACATGACTTGAAACAAAGCTGGACATGACTTGAAACAAACAACGCCGTGTCTCACGTATTCCGCTCACGGCCCCGGGACCCCGCTAATCTCCACGCACACGTCCACGCCGTGCAGGCGGCGGGAGCGCGTGCGCGCGTCCCCGCCGCGGTCCACGCTCAGCTCGGCGGGATACAGACGCACCAGCCGCGCCACCTCGGCCGTCGGCACGCGCATGATGCACACAATCTTGACCTGGGGCGCGTCGCTGGCCTTGCTCGTGGTCGCCGTGTCGGTGCTCCGGTCCACGCGCCGCTCGCGGTCCTGGGCGCGGCGCTCGCGGTGCCCGCCGACCGCTGCCGGGGCCGGGGGTGCGTAGTGCGTAGTGTCGCCCGCGCGCGTGTCCGGCTCGTGCAGGGTGTCGCGCAGACTGAGACACAGGCTCTCGATGCCGAGCTCGCGCTCGTGGCGCAGGAAGGTGGCGAGGAGGTTGTGGGTTCCGTGGGGCGGCGGCTGGGGCGCGTGGTGGGGCGGGATGCCTGCAAAGGCCGCAAAGGGCTGGACTGCGGGGGGTGGGGTGGGTGTGGGTGTGTTTGTGTGTGTGTTTGTGTGTGTGGGTGTGTGTGTGGCTGTGTTTGTGTTTGCGTGTGTGTTTGCGTGTGTGTTTGCGTGTGTGTTTGCGTGTGTGTGTGTGGCTGTGTCTGTGTTTGTGTGTGTGTCTGTGTTTGCGTGTGTGTCTGTGTTTGCGTGTGTGTGTGTGGCTGTGTGTGTGGCTGTATCTGTGGCTGTGTGTGTGTTTGCGTGTGTGTTTGCGTGTGTTTGTGTGTGTGTTTGCGTGTGTGTGTTTGCGTGTGTGTGTGTGGATGTGTGTGTGGCTGTGTCTGTGGCTGTGGCTGTGGCTGTATCTGGGTGCTGCTGCAGGGCGGCGACGTGCTGGCCCAGCGCGTTCTGCACGGCCTGGACGTGGACGGCCATGGCGGGCGGCAGGGCGGCGAGGGCGTGCGGCGCGTTAAAGGCCGGGCCGGCCAGGTGGGCGACGAGGCGCGGGGTGACGGCGGTGCCGCAGCGCAGGAAGATGCTCAGCGTCTTCAGGCGCGGCAGGTCGTGCTTCAGACAGCGCTCGTCCTTGCGGCTGCCCAGGTACTTTGTCCACAGCGGCAGGTCGCGCTCGCGGATGCGAAAGTAGACCGAGGCGATGCGGGCGGCGTGGCGCGAGGCGACGACGCGGAACACGGTGCAGTCGCTCGGGTGCGTAAAGAGGAACTTGTTGGCCGTGTACAGCAGCGGCGCGGCCTCGTCGTGGACCTGGCGGCTCGTCTGCAGCAGCGCGACGCCGACGCCGTGCCTCGCGGGCGCCTGGCCGGGCCACCAGAACGGGTGCGGCGACGCGAGGGCGAGGCCGTAGACGCGGTCGCGCAGCTCGCGGGGCAGCGACAGCAGCAGCGAGAACGACGGGTCCGGCGCGGGTGTCTGCGCAGGCGGCGCGCGCTGCGTCACCGACGGCTGGCGCGGGCGCGTCGGCGTGAGGGGGACGTGGGTCGGGGCGTCGAGCATGGTCGTGTCGGACGAGTCGCTGCTGGTCGACGGCGAGCGCGTCCGCGTCCAAGTGCGCGAGGCCATGTCGGGACTCGAGACTCGGGACTCGGGACTCGGGGCTCGGGGCTCGAGACTCGAGACTCGACGTGCTGAAGCGCAGCCTGTGGGTGGTGGGTGTCAGTGTCAGCATCAACGAACATGCCCCCCATCTCCTCCGGGGTCGTCCGAGCTTGGTCCGGGCCGATCCAGAACCCACGAACCTCTTGTCGCACGAGTCATGCTGCATCGTCTCTTGTTCTTGTGAGTAGTCGACGTTGACTTGGTCACATCTTGGTGTTGTGACAGTCACGCTACCTTTATCGTATTGTTGTGACAGTCACGCTGCTGTGATGGTCACGCTGCCTTTATCGTATTGTTGTGACAGTCATGCTGCATTTATTGTATTGTTGTGACAGTCACGCTGCATTTATTGTATTGTTGTGACAGTCATGCTGCCTTAATCGTATTGTTGTGACAGTAACGCTGCATTCATCGTATTGTTGTGACAGTAACATTGCATTCATCGTATTGTTGTCGCGAGTACTCGTGCTGCACCTACTCCATAGCCGTCCCCAGCCGCCTGGCCTTCTCCCTCCTCTCCACCATCCGCTCCTGTGACTCTTGGACCCACGCGTCGTACTCGCCCTTCTCAAGCTTCGCCTTGACAACGCCCTTGAGCAGCTCACCCACAAAGCCGACAAAGTTGTGTCGCCGCAGCGAGTTCTCCCACAGCCACTTTGCGCGCACGTCCTCCTGCTCCTCCAGCCCGTCCTCGTCGCCAAACTCGCGCGCCCGCAGCCGCAGGTCGCGCACGCACGCCAGCAGGTTGAACCGGATCTCGCCGCTGGGGTACCGCGCGATGCGTCGCTGCAGCACGGGGATGATCTTGGCGGGGAAGTCGGTAGGCGTGCACGCCCCGTGCGAAATGGGCGCGGGCTGCAGGCCGTCGAGCTCGTAGAGCGTGCCGTCAATGGCCGCGTAGCTGTGTCTTGGTCAGCCTGTGTCGGCAGCAGCAGCAGCAGCCGCGGCGGTATCGGGGCGGGGTGCACGCACGCGATGAAGTGGTAGACGTCGTCGTCGGCCGTCGCCGTGCGCTGCGTCTCGTCGATGAACGGCGACGAGCGCGCAAACGAGTTGTGCGTCTCGCGGATCAGGTCCGAGTTGGACAGCGTCTCGCCGCGCAGCTGTGCCGTGTTAGCTGCGTAGCCACCTGCTCGTCACGGCGACGCACCTCGGGCGGGAACTCGGCCGCAAACTCCTTGAACTCGCGCAGCTCCTTGCCGACGTCGATTTCGCCGTCCTTGTTCAGCAGCACCGAGAGCAGCGCCTGCGTGCCGCACGCGTTCTGGATCGTCTGCGCCGCGAAGAAGAGCCGGCTCGCTGCGTCGTGGTCAAAGGCGCCGTCCTGCGGTGCGTCGCCCGCCCGCTCGCCCGTCGGGTACTTGAACAGGAAGATGACGCCGTACACGTCGCCAAACGCCCGCAGCTCGTCGGCGTCGAGCGCCACCAGCTCCGCGAACTGCACATGCTTGACCCCGAGCTTCTCGATGAGGTACGTAAAGACTCCCTGCCGACGTTAGCACGTCGATCCGTGGGAAAGTGCTGCGTCTGGCGCCTCGTACCGCGTCCGACTCGATCGTGTTCCACCCTCCAGACATGGCTGCGTGTGTTCCGCCGTCGTGACCGCCGCATGGTTTGCCCTCCGTCGACGCGAGGGGCGCTAAGTGCGGGCCGCGGTTAGCTGCCCCGATGCGGCCCCTGGTGGGGCAGGCCTGATATCCACAGCCATGAGTGTGTTTGTTGCTGTTGGCTGATAGACTGCCTTGGATCCAACACGCGCTGTTGCATTGTTGCGTCTGCGCCACTTTTCAACCGCCTCACATGTTTTTGGCGGTAGATTGTGATTTGTTGCATCTTCGCCACGCTTCGACTGTCACATATCGTCGACTGTCACATATTGTCGACTGCCGCATATCGTCGACTGTCACATATCGTCGACTGTCACATATCGTCGACTGCCTCCATGCCGTGGCAAGACCCAAACAAGAACCTCATGACTTCTCCAGTCCAGCACCACGCCTCCTCAACCATCCACCCCCTCAGCCATCCACCCCTCAACCGTCCACCTCTCAACCGTCCACCGTCCCACCCTACGTCCCATAACTCCATCCATCCCACCGCTCATCCCAAACCCTTGGCTCCAACGCGCCCTCAAGACTCAACACCTGCCCAAGCCCACACTCGGAAAACGTCACCCTCAGCTGGTGCTCTTCGTAGAACGCGTCGTACCTGGGCTGCATCGCGTCCCCAAGGTTCCTTACGCCGCCGTCGGGATGCAGCGTTTCCCACGGGCGCGTGCACGCCCGGCCCTTGCAGCGCTTGAGCGTGAGCAGCAGCGCGTCGAGCCGGGCCGTGAGCGCGTCGACGCGCCACTCGCCCACAGGCGCGGTGGTGTTGTACAGGTTAGTAAGTTGATACGGATCATTCTGCAAAACACAAATCAGCATCGATCCCCCCCTCTCTCCCCACCGGGTCAGAAGCAGAGACGCACCGTCATGTCGTACAGCTCGTGCTCGTTGGTGCACCACACGGCGTATGCGAGATCGTAGGCCTCGCCCACGACGCGCACGTGCTTGTATGTGTTCTCCGGGAATGTCTGGACGCCGTAGAATGTGTTCCCTTCTACGAGGTACTCGCCCCAGAACTCAATGTTGACGTGCTCGCTCTTGGTGCTGCGCGCAAGCTGCGTCGCGGTGACGGGGATCGGCTCGCCGTCGAAATCGTCTCTGAGCGGGATCCCCGCGAGCGCGAACAGCGTCGGGACAATGTCTGTGTGGCTCGAGGGAATGCTCTGGGTGGTGTTCTTGGGCACGCCGGGGCCGCGGATGAAGAAGGGGATGTTGACGTCTTCTTCAATGTTGCAGCTCTTGCCTGGCGGGAGCCGGTGCTGGCCCATGTGGTAGCCGTTGTCGGTTGTGTAGATTAGGTATGTGTTGTTGAGCACCGCTGGGCTGGCGGACAGACGCGTCATGATGGAGTCGATCAGCTCGTCCACCGACTGCAGCGACTGCAGGCGCTTGCGGTACCAGTCGTCGTTGAAGTCGATTTCCGTCTGATTGAGCTGGCGAAGCGTCTTGAAGTACGACGCTGTGCCCGTCTGGGATATGGCATTAGTACGCGATTCTGTCTCGAGATTTGTCAATCCGAGGAGCAGACCCGGCTGCATCCACGGCACTCACAGTGTTGGGGTTGAAATTGGGTGTCCGCGGCACCGTGACGTTGGGGAAGAGATGCGCGTGCCTCTGCGCAGGGACAGGAGCATTGAACTGGACATCGGCACCCGTGACGGTTTCCGAATGAGGCGCAATCGGCGCAACGCCGAGGAAAAACGGCCTGTCCGACGCTTTGATGGCTTCGTCGAGGAACCCGACTGCAGCGGCCGACACCAGGTCTGTCGAATACTCGCCCGGATAGTTCTTGGCCGGGTCGTGATTCCGCGTCATGGTCGCGTTGTAGAAGATATACGTCCCCGGATCGATCAGGACTGACGTGTTAGCTGGTGAAGTCCGAGTCGGTCGCCAGACCTACAGTCCGACCCGTTCCAGCCATTGATGCGTGGATTGGTGTACGTGCTGAGCGAATGTCCTGCCATTGATCAATGCGAGTTTGTCACTGCCACACCGCTCTGCGTACCATTCATCATCTTGCCAGTGTAATACGTGTTGTATCCGGCCTTCTGCAGCCAGACCGGCAGGTAGTCGTCATTAAACCCTTCCTCGACGAACCTCGGGTACCCACCTAGCCCACGTCAACACGCCGATCTCCCACCTCGCCCAGCCAGTCTCAACATACCATACGGGGCCCTGACATCCGTGACATTGGTGTTGTGCGCAGCCTTGCCCGTCAGCAGCGACACGCGCGACGGACAGCACAACGCCACGGTGCAGAAATGCTTCTTGAACCACGTCCCCTCCTGCGCAAAGTGCTTCTGAACAGACTCCTGGTACGCAAGCGAGTTCAGATGCAAGTCCTGGTCATCCGTCATGATGAAAATAAAGTTTGGCTTCGTTGCACCCGTAGAACCCTGCGAAGCCTGTCCGGCAGAGGCCGCGACAGCAGCCACAGCGCCCGCGGAAACAAGCAACAATGCCTTGCTGGGAGTCATGTTGGAAACCAGAGGGCTGGATGATGATTGAGAATTTGGGGTTTTGTGTATTTGAAGGCTGGGTACACCGCCACTGCAGATTGACCGCGAGATGCAGTATGTCGACAGGCGTACCCCGCTTTTATTGCGTGAGCGCGCTGTTGCATCGCGTGCTCAGGAAGATAAGCAGATGGACTTCAACAGCGCATGGAAAGAAAGGATTGAGATGACATTGTGGACCATGGAGCAAGACAGAAGGTGACGTAGGGAAGCGAACTGAGCTGAAGCCAAAGTGCGATGACGGATGCTGGAGGATGTCGTCTGCTTCAGCGTTATGACGATTCTGGTCTTACACCTACCAGTCTGCTACAATATTTGGACTCACATTCTGCACCAACATGGGGAGGTTTGACGTGTGAAAGCGATGCAGCTTCGGGTGCCAACTACACTCTGTGGAATGCGACTTCCGCTAATATTTCGAGACCCGAAATGGTCCCGCGTTCACAAAGGGACTTACCGTGGGTACCTTGTTAGGCCTCACTTCAAACCTTGTAATTTTCGAGGCAAGGCAGTCGGAGACCTGGGCGCATTTCTCATGCCGTATTTCTCGTGGCGCAATTCTCATGGCCTATTTCCCGTGGCGCAATTCTCATGGCCTATTTCCCGTGGCGCAATTCTCATGGCCTATTTCCC